CCCAATAATCAGGAAAGCACTCGCACGAAGACAATGTTTTTTTGGGGGGAGGGGAGAGAAAAGAGTCAGCCTGCCGGCAGCAAAGTGTTGCCCATTAAGCGATACATTGTAATTAAGGGGAACCAGCCGCGTCGACTACCACCAGCAGCAGGAGCAGCAGCTGCCAACGGAAATTGTAGATAAGATTGTAAGACAGCGACTAAGTATAAGTGTGCACCGTATGCGAACATAACATGATAACATCATCAATAGCCGGGCTATACGCAGCGCCTATGCAATTATTTAAATTATATGCACGGCAACGTTACTGTTCGTTTAAAATGAAATTAGTGTTATGTAGTTTTCTCTCCCCGGTTACACCTTAAAGTCTATAATCAGTCTCCGTCCTCTGGATGCAGCCAACCAACCAACCAACCAACCAGCCAAGCGGCCAAGCGGCCTGTCCGTCTTCATCATTTGTTAGGTTTCTCCGCCATTCGGGCCAACACCATCGTCTTTTGGTTCGGCGGCTTCGCTAATCATTTTTTGATATGGCCGCTAATAACAGATTTCGATGCATGTCCCACTCGTTTTGGCCATCCATCCATCCATTCATCCATCCATCTGCCACGTTATTGGTTGGCAGATAAGATTTTTATGATTTTTCCCCTTTTCACTGCCAGTTATAGCCATAATTGATTGACTGCTCTGCAACACAAATTTTGGTTTGTGCATGGAATGAGTGTGAATAAATGGGACGTAATCTTGGGCCAAGAAATGTGGTTTTGGTAATAAAAACTAAATGAATACTACATTAAAAATAAAATGTGATAGGTGGGAATTTAGGTTCACGACCCAATGGACCGAAACTTTGTAAATGATATCGAAATCAAGAGAAACTGCTAACGTTTAAGTTCAAAAATAAAAAGAAATATTAAGACCACTCATCGCCCACCTTGTGGCATAGAATGTTAAAAAAAAATTATATGTATCCTTAACGAATCTATTTTAATATTATTATCATAAAATCATCGGGAACGGGCTAAAAAATGTATTAACAAGGGACATAAAGGGTTAAAATATATATCGATTACATTTTCCCCCCAAAACTCTCGCTTTTGAGACCATTTCGAACATTAAGCGAGAACTAAGTCACATATCTTGCCATTTATATCGTTTCAAAGTTAATCTAAGAAAATGTTTCGTTTAAGTAAGGTATATTGGTAATAGCAAATAATTGGGTAAAAGGACTCTACAAACTAAAAAAACCTTTCCAAATCAAGAGAAAGGATTCTAAATACTTTTAAGCATCTATTCAGTTGACTGTAAAATGACGATTTCATTAAAGCTGGTAGTTCCAAATATTTGTAAATTTTTCGTATAAATTATAAATTTACTCTTAAAACTTTCTCGAAAACATGTAGTCCAGGTGATCATATGTAATCGGCCGTAATCATAAACCCAAACTACTATGCACATAATTACTTTGAACCGACGGGACAACAACTATGGCCAACCTACGTTCCATCATTAAGTCGAACAGACAATTTGTCAAGTGAAACAAGAAAATTTGCATAAAAACTAACAAACAACTAACATTAGACACACCAAAAAATTTGCATGTCTGGCCAACTGAAGTTGGTCAACGCTTCAGCTTCGGCAACAACCAACAAGCTACCAGCAACATATAACAATTTTCCGCAGGCCAAACTGGCCTCTGGTTTTACAGTCATAAACGTGTTAATAGTTATTAATGCATTTGATTTTGTAAAAAAATGTATGTTAAAAGAGATTATTCCATAGGTAAGTAATGTATATAAACAGTTCACGAAATGCACTGGGAAAAGGTTTAAGCAGCTATGCTTAAAAAATATATAAACATATCGAAAAACATTTTGAAATGTGTAAATTCTAAAGGTTTATAAAGACTTGTGCTTCGAAAAATTATCATTTTTCATTTTTAAATATGATTAAATTCAAAAAATATATATGAAATTGTATTATCGAACATACAAAACAAAAAAACATATATATTGTTGGTTTTCTAAAATACCTGAATTTCAATATTTGTGTTTCAATATTTTGAGTACAATAATAATTATTACAATAGCTAAGGTATGAGCAAAAATTCACCTGTTCGGGGTCAAAAAATATCGCTAACTCTAACAAATGCAGTAAAAGGCAAATAATTTTTCGTTCACATATTTATTAGGAAAAATTTTTAGTAAATTTGGATAAAATTCTTTTATGTATGTAAGCAATTTACAAAATAGGGTTATGTCGTATTCTCTTGGCCATTGGTGTGGCTATGGGACTTGGTAACACAGAAGCAACAGACCAAGTGCAATTACCAAAAGCGCGCCACAAAGCCAACCAAAGGCGATCTCAAAGGAGATCGGCAAAAGAGGCAAGAAAGCGTTGGCCAGTTTCTGGCGTTGTGGTTGTTGTTAGTGTTGTTGTTGGCCAAGCAACATGTGCGTTTGTGTCCGCAACGATTAAGTAAAAACAATTTACACGCCTGCCTGCCAGAAAGCCAGGAGATGGCGGTGAAAAGGTGGAAACGTGAAAATGAAACCATAGAGATGGGACGCAGTGAAGAGTGCTAGTAAAGGATGAATGCAAACTTTAGGAAATTTTAAGATTCAAAAGAAATCGTTAAAAGATTATACAAAATATAAATAGTTTATAATAACTCAATTAAAAAACGTACGTTTGAAAAAGACAGAAAATATAGTTCGGTAATCCGCTGATTGGACGACTGGATAGTTTCTAGTCCAAAATTTTTAACTTAAAAAGTAAATTGTAACATTATTAACTTATCTAGGGTTATAATCAATAAGTTATTCAATAATAACATTGAAGACTCCGAAACGTATCCTATGCTCCTCTAAAATTATTATCCAGAAGCCGAGCAGAAACATTTGTTGATGTAAGTAACATCGTAATCAACCAATTTATAGTATTTTATAATATTAAATATTTTTGTTAATTAATTAATGATAACTATAATACATACTTTTACAATTAACCAAGAATATAATTTCAAAAAAATATTTTTTTAAGGATATATTAAGAAGTTCGTGCTTATCCGAGTGTCATATCTAACCCGGATCAGTCCTTGGCTGTAAGTCACGGCGTTAATATGCGTCGCAATGGCTTAGCTGGTTAGCCACGTTACGAGGCTTCACCTTGTTGGTGCCGATGCTGATGCTGCTGCTGTTGTCTGCATGTTAGTGCTTCCTTTTTGGCATCGCCAACATGTCAATTATATCGTATCAAATTAATAATTGTACACGTCGCGTTGCGGCGCATCGGACGTCTTCGCCCCATTCACCCAAATGAAGTTGGCTTTAAAGGAGCTTTGGCTGGAGACCGGACTGGGAGCTGGGTGAGCTGGGTGAGCTGGACGGGAGCCAGCCTCTTTGGGTGCCTGGTGGTTGCCACTAATCGTGGCAGACAAGCATGCCGAACTGTCGGCAAATGCAATATATTTAAAGTTGCCTGTCAATTTTGGAGGCTGTTAAGCGCTGCTAACATGCCATGTTTGTTGAGTATGTGATATCAAATTAAACTTGCACAGAGCTACATTTAACTAAGTTTCTATATTATTAGTATTATTATTCAAGAATGCTGTTTTATTCAAAGAATTCGGTTAAGTGAATATAATTAACATAAATTAACACTTTATACAAGTCAAATACTTCTTATCTAACTTTACTTTTCCATCAGAAACTTAAAATAAAAAAATATTCATTTTGTGTGGAATTATTTTTAATTAAGAGGTTACAACGGTAGATTTTTTAAAGGCTCCAGAATACTATTACAATATTTTTCAAAACATGATTTACCAAATAACCCGCAGAAGTACTTAACTTAATATTCTCATCTTAAGATAATTTTTAGCTAATGAATGACGAGAGAATTGTCCAAAAAAGTAATCGAGACAGTTTTAATTTACATGAAAAGGTCATTCCTATTCCTTCATTTAAAATAGAAATCGATAATCTTTTAGAGAATATTAATCTTCAATTTTGTAGTCTTTATAATTTACTTACAAGAAATGTTGTTATGAATTTATTCCAGAAAATTATATAAATTTAAATATGAACTCTATAGCAATAAAGTATAACATTTAATTAATTACTTAATTTTTAGTTCGAAAAAAGTAATGTCAATAATCGACAATTTTAGCCATATTATGGTTTTGCACCAGACAAGGCAGCCTCAAAAAACAGGTTTAGGCAATTCGCAGAGCTGCTGTCGTTCAGTTGTATAAAACTTAAAAAAAAAGAAGTAAGAAAAATCAAAGCCGAAACGGTAATTATCTTTTGACAGCACTTAAGTTGAATTTGGCAATGACAGTCGAAGCTAAAGATCGGGCCAACGGGACGATAAAAGCGGCGCTTTAGCGCACATGACAGCTGAGGTTAAAGCCAGACCGATTAAATTGACAGCGTGTCAGGGCAGTATTTTGTTTTTCACGCTGTCTTAAAAAACGTTTTCGGTCTGGTCTGAGTTGGGCATGGAGCCGAATAAATAATTCTATTAATGACACACATATGCTGCTACGTTTTCAATTAGCTTTTTGAAAATGTATCGCAACGCAAACTTTAGAATACAAATTAATTAGCACATTAACACTTAATTTTTATTGAGTATTCATGTTAATCATTGGACTCTTCATAATTTGGGGTCATTTAAACATATATCTTCTATCCCAATCAATGACATAGAATATAAGACATTTGTTCACATCTTTTCCTATATAATTATTTAAGATTATTGATCGAAAAAAGGCCATAAGTATAGTGTATTAATGAAATAATCAACGTTTATTAAATATATATATTTTAAAAGGCTTGATTTTTATTAACAAATATGAATACTAAATATATTTTAAGCTCAGCCCTGTATGAGATATATTCAGATAACCAAAAGTTGCTCTATTTTCTTCAGATTTAACACATTCCACTCCTTTTTAATTGAATATAATAAGTATACAGAAAATACACAGGAGTTAATTGATTTTAACGTTACACTTCACATTTCATAAATATTACAGTACACGATTATAATGCAAAGGAAAAAAACAGAATTAAAAAAAAAAAGTGATTTCATTTGAACAAATATAACCACTGAAATATATCGTACTTGCCTCCTGACGTAATACTGGTTGATAAACGGAAAAATATTCGCATTCCAATTTATGCCTCGCTGGTAGCCAGCACAGATTTAAAGTAATCACTATCAAGTTTCTTGATGTCTTTCGTAAACTGTGTGACCAGTTGGGTCAAGTCCTCCACGTTTATATCCGTATTGTTGCCTGCTGTCGATAGCTGTTCAATAGCCACTTGAATCTTCTCCAGGAGAGCTTTGTCCTCCTTTTTCTGCTTGTCCACATGCTCGTCTTCGAACTCGTTGTACACCTCCTGGGCGTTTTGGACCACATGGTCGGGAAAGCTGGCTAATCGCGCCACCTGAATGCCAAAGCTCTTTTCCATGACGCCTGGACGCACCTGATAGAGCAGTGTGAAGTTATCTGAATCTGCGACTGCGGCCATATGGCAGTTCTTAACTGTGGCCAGCGACTCTGCGAGCTTTGTTATCTCATGGAAATGGGTGGCAAACAAAGTAAAGCACTTGGTCTCCTTGGCCAAATGCTCGGCAATGGACCAGGCAATGCCACAACCCTCATAGGTGGAAGTTCCACGGCCCAATTCATCGATAATCACCAAGGATTTATCTGTGGCAGTCTGCAATGAATCAATAATAACAATGGTGAAATTACTTCTTCATTCCTGATCATACTTCCAGTACTTACCCTAATTATCCCAGATGTTTCAATCATCTCAACCATGAACGTGCTGAGACCCTTGATAATATTATCGCTGGCTCCCACTCGGCCGAGTATCGAGTCCACCATGCTTATGGAGGCCATACTGCAGGGCACAAAAGCACCGACGTGGGCCATTAGGACAGCAGTTCCCACCGAACGAATGTATGTGCTCTTGCCGCCCATGTTCGGACCCGTTATGATGAACATGTTGCACTTGTCTAAATCAAAAAGAAAGATTTATATGAAAAGTATTTCTTCTTTCTTATGCTAATCTTACCCTTTTGAAAGTCCACACTGTTTGCTATAAAGCTGACGTGCTCTTGCAGCTCCAAGCAGGGATGACGTACGTCCTGGAGAACCAACTCACCCGCACCCTCATCTAACATCTTTGGTCGCACATAAGGTGTGGGTGCACTGCGTGCGGCGATGGCAAAGCTCACCAAACAGTCCAGTTGAGCAAGCTCATTATTGAGCGATGTAAGTGGAGCCGCATATCCAACGGCCACCTGAATGATCTCCTCCACAATGGACAGCTGCTGTTCTTCGTACCGACTCCGACAGCTGGCAAATTCCTCGGCATACCCCTCCAACTTATCAGAGGTGAAGCGCACGCCGCCCTTGATGACATCCACAATGCGATAGTTCTTGTTTTTGCGCAGCACGGAATCATCCTTCAAGGTGATGCGAAAATGGTGGCCCAGCTTAGCCACGTTTTCCAGCTTCACCTGCTGCTTGCCATCCAGATCCAGCTCCTCACTGCACTTGGTCTGCAGGCGCCCCATTTTGGCGTACAGGTCCGTCATCGTCTGCTGCAGCTCCATCAGTCGATTATCAAACGAAGCCTTTACCAGATACTCTCCCCTATCGATGGCTTCAAAATCGACCACCTGTTCAACCATCTGCTTGAGACCAGTAAGGTCCTCCAGGAAGCTCTTAAATGGCGCACAGATCATGCTCTCTATGGTGCTGTTTTCCAGTTCGAGCAAGAGTTTCAAAATCTTTGGCGTTCGCAGAATAACCTGGTAGATGCGGAACAGATCCTGAAGCGTCGCCTTGCGTCGCATCAGCTTCTTGGTCAGCATGAGTATGTCCGGAATTCGCTTCAGATAGTCGAGACTGAGCGTCTCCAATGTATCCGGTGATTCCAGCAGACATGCGACAATGTTGTGGCGATCGTTGAGGATATCCCGGTTGCGCAGCGGCTGCTTCACCCACTGGCCCATTAAGCGGTGACCTTGAGGAGTGCGACAGTGATCGAGTACGCCCATAATGCTCTGCCAGCGATATGAGGGCATGGATGGATGTGTGCCCGGCTTGGGCATAATGTTCAGCGCGGCCACGGCAGCAGAGTCCAAGTGGACGAATCTGAAATTAAATTGGATTGAATTATTCATATTTTATATAGTTAAAATCGCATGGCCACTTACCGATTAAGATCGAGTTTTTTGATTTCGTAATGCCCCAGGTTTCCGGCATCGTTGACCAGATCCAAGTACTTGATGGCAGTCTTAAGAGCATCCGAAGCCAACTGCAACTGAAGTTCCTTCAGCCCCGAGGCGTCCTCCTGCTGTCCCTTGGCAAAGCGCAAAAGACGGTTCAAGTCCTGCAACAGATCGTTAGCGCTGCTTTTCTTAGGCACTGTGATCATGACGCCACTCCGCTCCAATAGAGTCTTCACAGCTGCGTATTCACCCTCCAAGCTGGGCAGCAAACACTCCTTTGGGCCCAGCAGCACTACAGTGGCCTCTAGCTCCGTGAAGAAGTCATCGTCCAGGAACTCTAGCAACTGGAACTTGCAATCATTCTGCTCCACGCTGGCCACGCCTACGCGTCGCTGTGCACCGCCCTCTAGCTTCACGAGCAACGAGATGATACTATTGCCCACCAAAACCTCCTTGTTGGCAAACAGTATGTCCTCGAACTGCAACAGGTTGCCGGGCGAGCCGCGGTACTCCAGCTCCCAGTCGCTAGACCTTTTCACGTAGACTTCGACGCGCAGATTTCGCACCAGAAGCAGCTCACGCACCGCCACCTCAAAATTGCCCTTGGACATGGACACGAACTGGAGTGTTTCCTTCTTATCGTCCGGCAACAGGACACCAATGAACGCCGTCGATTTGTACACAATCTTGGCCACCAGCTCGCAGTCATCGCTGCCATGGACCGTGTAGCAGTCGGAATGGTCGAAGAATCGCACTGTGGTGCAAGGTTTCTGCAGGGACGCCGGTACCAATGAGATATTTGTAATATTTATGAAGCCTCTTACTAACCTCGCCAAGCCTGGCATGGAACTTAATGAAATTGCGACGCGCATTGGTATCTACGAAAAAGGCATTGTTATTCGTTGTATTTACAATAATATTGCATAATAATGAACTCACCCATGTGGAGCCTTGGCTCCTGCCGACTGTCTGTTGCTTTGGCCTGCATCATTTATGTTTTTACAATTTCTTTTTATAAAAATCACGCAATTTGGCGCCTGTTTTTGCTACAAACTTAGTGTGGATGTTTAGGGGACTGCGCAAATTACCAATTCAAAATGAAGATATACTAGAATATACTTAACAATATGTGCCATTAAAAAAAATACTTTTATATACATTCAAAACTGTGCGATTCTGTTATACAGACGGTTAAAATCGCACCAACTTTTTCGCTGCTGCGCCTTTTTAAACAGAGCCCAAATTGATGCAAAACGTACTGTGATCTAAAATGCTTAATAATTGGATCATGAAAGTAATTAATGAATTAATTCAAATTACATTTTTTTTTTTTTTAATAACAAAGGAGCCAAGTATTCAAGTGTTTTAAAAATTACATACATTTTTTGTTAATATATTGCAAAAGCAAGTACGTAACTAACTATTATTATACACTATTTAAAACATCCTGCAGTAAAAAATATATTTCCAAATTGTTTGTAGAAATTACACTTTGTTACCACACTTTATTAATAGAGTTCATGCAAAAAAATACTGGCTATTTAAACATAATACGCTTTGCACCTAAAAAGTTATCAGTCTAATATTGCAATATGCTCGCAGGGCAGTCCTCCAGTCACAGTGCCTTGTCCGCTTTGTTCGAGTTGTCTGCCTTCTCCTCGCCCGTCTTCTGGAGCTGCACAATGTCCCAGGCGCCGCCAACTCCACTGGCCTTGGAGCACAGATCCAGGCTGATGAGGGCGCCCACTGTCGGGGACGCGGCTCTGAGACAGGTTCCCTTGGCCATGTTGTAGATTGGACTGTTGGAGTTGCGAGTGTGCCTCCACTGCTGATCCCCGAGCATCTCATGGCATTTGTTGACCGTTACTTGGGCATCGCCAGATGCCTCAAGGCACAACAGTTTATCCAGCACAATCTCAGCTTTCTCTGTCTCGTACCACAACTGGTTGGGAGTCCTCTGGCAGGGCTGAAGCTGCAGGGAGCTGCCCTTCTTCCAGAAGCCCTTCACTTTGGGTGCCACCACGGCGGCGCAGAGTTCCGTTTCTGCTAGACGCATTTGGTAAGAGTCGACGTAGTTGCGCTTCCGCGAGTGCCAAGGCTGAAAGACGGGCGCTGGCGCCGACTTCTTTGCTGGCCCCTCACCCGGCACACGCAGCTCGGGGTAGACGTTCTTCAAGTACCAAGCAAAGTCCCGGCATTGCAGACGCTTTCGCAGATTAACACGGTCGCTAATGTCTCCGTAATCGAAGTCCTTGGGCACCTTTTCGTGCTTGATATAGTACTCTTTGTACTGGTCCATCCAGACGTGCGAGAGGCGAAGTGAATTCTTTAACATGGTGTTGGCTCCATCGGGCGAGCTGTAGGGGCGGCGTTTCCGGAATATATGACCCACGCGGGAGCAGGGAACAATCTTGATAGCGCCGCCACACTGCCAGGCCCTGAAGGAGATCTCGATGTTCTCGCCACCCCAGATGTCCATGGCCATATCGTACTCGCCGAGATGCTGGAAGTATTTCCTGTTCACGGCAAACAGTCCACCGGCCATGGTGGGCGAGCGAAAGGGACCTCGAAAATCCTCCGGCACCTTGAGGGTACCCTCCGGCAGGTTCTCCCATCGGAAGTGCAAGCCCCAGTTGAATCCTCCTCGCACCAGGGGACTGGGCGTGTACTCAAAGGTGTCCGCATTGATCAAGTCGATGACTGGGACGGCCAGCGTGGCATTCTCCGCCTGGATGAGGCGCAGCAGCGGCTCCAGCCACTGTTGGTTCACCTCGATGTGCGAGTCCAGGAAAACGAGGACATCCCCGACGGCTTCGCGGGCCCCGATTACACGAGAGCGGATGAGACCCTCGCGTTGTTCGTTCTTTATGTATCGCAGGTTGTCGTACTTTAAACGGGCACGCAGATCTCCATGCAAATGGAACTCCAACTCCGGAAGATCGCTGTGATCATCCACCAGGATGATCTCCCTTAACAAATGGCTGGGAGTCCGCTCCAAAACAGTCTTAATCGATCGCATCAGAGTCATTTTGTGCTCGTTGTAAAAACACATGACCACAGAGGCCTGAGGAAGTTGTTCCGTATCAGAAGTCTCCTCGCGTTGGCACACCTTGTGGCGGGTGTCGGGTATCTCGCGATAGAGCCCAATGTTATTCGATACCAAAGCGTTGAAGGCGTGGTGCTTGTAGCCAATGTCCCTGATGTACTTGTCCTGCTTGTTCCGCACCACTCCCAACAACTCGAGTTGCTCGGGAGCACTCTCGGCCAATGCATCCTTGGGCTCTGAGGAGTTATTGGCGGCGATTGGCAAGCACCTGGTTGTGACCCTGGCTTGGAAGCTCAGCTCAGCCCGTGGCGTGGCGTTCCGTTCGATCCGCCAGCCCGCCGAATGGATGGAGCTCCCCAAGCTGTGGGAGTAAAAGAGCAGCGCCAGGAGCCAGACGACGGCCACCAACAGCGTGCCCAGGCCGCAGGACTTGCACAGGAGACGCTTGATTTGCATCATGTGTCCACATTCGCTTACGTTGCGCTTTTAGTTGTTATTTCGTCACTTTCATGATGGAATAAATTAATTGTTGAATCAAAATATCAATATATCGATAGTTTTTCTTAAAAAGATATATTTATATCGTGATATTTTGTTTGCCCAAATATCGATGCTGCGATATTTTTATTTAATTGAGAATTGCGGGAAGCGGGAATTCTGCAATTTTTTTTAAACGTAAGCGGGGTTTCCCCTAATTTTTTAAGTTAAAAAAAGTGTAGTTTTAATATAAATATACCATCTGCGTGCAAGAGTGTCACAAATTGATCGATACGATATTTTTTAAATAACCGACAATCTTATTCTAGGATTAATTTTAAGATTTAATTTAAATTTGCATACCACAAGTTTGCCGGTTTAGCTTGCTTCAAGCTATATCAATGCTGATTGGATTTTGTCGGTTTATTTACACTGACGAATGTGCCAACTTAGCTTATTTTACGCTATATTAGTAACACATTTAAAAAAAAACGAGCCCAAAAATATTGATTTGTATCATTAAACATTTTTAAATATATTAAGATTAATTATTTTGGAAATAATAAGCCCTGCGTTATTTCAATGCCGAAGTTGAACGAGTCAACTAAACGTTGTACAAGCAAATAAGAAAATTAAAAAGTAATATTGGATTGTATTAGAGTCCATAAATATTATATATAAAACTTGTATAAAAAAATAGTGACAAAGCAAAAGAAAAATAAATATTATATTGTTCGATTATTTGCATTATTTATAAAGTTGAAAAGCAATATTATGCAAGAATAAATATTTTTCTAATATGTTCTTAAATGTTTTTTTATATTTATTTTAACCTATTCGAAATATTCTCCGGCAATCGAAATTTATGTTATCAACGTAAAATTTTTCCTAAATAAAAATTGTACACGTTATCATAAAAACGAGTCGAATTTTCAATGGGAGCGTTAAGCGAATGTCCAATTCCCAATCGATTATAAGCGACAGAGTCCAATTCCCAATCGGTATATTTTTAAGCATTATTTTTTTTGTATATAGAACTTTAAATAAAAACCAAATAAAAAAATTATCAGCTACGTTATTCGTTTTATAAAAGTCGGAATACTACATAATATACATACATATGTAGCTGCCAGAGAAACGGTTGTTAAATGTAGAGGATCAGTAAGTATCTTTCACTAATTAGTAACTATGATCAGTAAGTACATACATAACTCCGAACAATAAGTATCTATGACCAGTAAGTATGTATGATCAGTTACTAACTATGACCACTAATAAACAGGCTTTACTTTATATATAATATATATAATTTATATTGTATTAATTTCTAGTGATCGAAGTTAGCTTCCCTTGTTGTTTTAAATATTTATATTAAGATTCATTTACATACCGGTCGAACTTGGGTTTAAAATAAAAACAAGTACATCTATTGGTAGGGGCTTTATAAATACCGTTTTTATTTATTTCCTAATGCATTATGCCATTAATACATCGTTTATATTCATATAACATTGATCGATTTCTCGCCTTCTTGCACGTGTCTACAACAAATACTCAACAAAAAATGTTTATAATTAATAAAAGGAGAGTCAAATATTCATTATTATATAAGTATATATTTATATGCATACATGTATATATATATATACAGAGATACAACTAACAAAATCCGCGATCTGCCGACTGTTAAGTTTGGGTCAAGTGAGTGGGGGCGAATATAGCGATAAACTTTTCGAAATTTCATAGTCGACTTTGGTGGCTCCTTTAACGATGCATAAAAAATAATCGCGATAACCAACAAACGTTTTCAATTTTCTAATATTTATGCTTACTCGTTAATAGAAATGTTAAAGTGGTTTAGAGTTTTTCTTATTATCGGGGAGGGCTTTTTATATTTTGGTTTTTGTTTTTGCTGTTGCTCGCTCACACACTTTTATGCTTAATCGAATCATTTAACTACATACATTGGTTTTTGCTTTTGGGCCAGTAAATTACGAGTCGGCTAAAAAATAAAAATAGATTTCTATATCTAGGGCTGTTTGTAAAGGTAAGGTGCATCGCATCCATTTAGCACGAGCACTGATCCTTGGCGCCCGTAGCCTCGCTGCTCAGCGAAGTTCGTGACGGCTGCGAGGGTCGGTGCTGCACCCCGGACTCGGAGGCATTCAGATCGAGTCGTCCCTCTTGAATGTTCTGATAGATCTTTCGTGCTGTCTCGAGAAATGCTTCTTCCACGTTCTGGCCACTGTTTTGTAGAGATATTGATTAAGAATTAGTTTAAGCTGTAGTATACAAATTTAAGTTAAACGTGCAACGCATGCACCAAATGCTTAACATGGTTGAAAAAGGAATTATGCGTTAAATTCGTTATCGAAATATTCCATTGATGGATGGATTTTTACTCACGTCATTGCACTCGCTTCGAGAAACATGAGACCGTTCTCGTCGGCAAACTCCTTGGCCTCCTCGTAGGTAACCTCACGAGTGCTTTCCAAATCCGACTTGTTGCCAATAAGAAAGATCACAGTGCTGGGGTTGGTGAGATTGCGCGTGTCGGTGAGCCAGCTGCTCAGGTGATTGTACGTCGAGCTGGATTGGTTAACAAGAAATCCATTTAGAGTTTGAAAGTATATGTCGTTTCATTAAAGCCTACCGTCTGGTGATGTCATAGACCATGAGGGCACCGGCCGCTCCTCTATAATACGACCGTGTGACGGCTCTGAATCTTTCCTGTCCCGCTGTGTCCCAGATCTGAAGCTTGATTTTCTTATCGTCCACCTCGATGATGCGTGTGCCAAACTCTACGCCGATCGTGTGAGGGCAGTTTGCCATGACTTGGAAAATGAAAAGAGAGAGAGTTAATTAAAGTATTTCCACAGAAGATGAATATGCTTACATTTCTTTTCAGTGAACTGGTGCAGCAGGCAGGACTTTCCCACGCCCATGTCACCAATGATGATGTATTTGAAGATGTAGTTGTAATTGTACGGCGCTGCAGTCATGTTGGGACCTTTAAAAACAAAAGAAACATATTAGTGAATTTTAATTTGCAGCATTCCTCTCAATCTACATTTTTCCATGAGATAGTCGATGCGTTCGTGCAGCTTGTTCACCACACTTTGAACTTTGCTCATCTTGACTCTCGGCTCTGGGCCCTCACGAGTACGAACTCCGACCCAGGCAAGTGGTTTCCTATAACTATGTGTCTCAGGTGCGCACCCACACGGCGCTACTCGCTTATCAACAAACTGTGGCGCTGCATTAATTTGTTCTGCGACGGCTACACAACATTTTGTTCCCCTTTCTTTCAGTTGCCCCCGATATTTCGTTTTTTAAGGCATGCTTGTGTTTGAACAGCCGACCGGGTTTGTTTATTTGTTCACTCACAAAACTCACAAAAGAGAGCCAACTTAAGCTTCAAAAGTGTCTGTAAAAACCCTCCAGGCTGGAACTTCCATACGCCACTTGATTTTGAGTCTTTTTGAGTGTCAGTATCATCTTGAAACCTTCGGGGAGAGCTCAAGTGAACGCTTCAATAAAGTCAAATCGAATTATTCTCAAGGCCGTCATCTCGTAACTGTGGGAACTAAGTAAATCAGGGCGAGTTGCCTCTCGGATACTGCATTTAAATAAACTCATGTATGGTATTCAATTATTCATAATATTAATTTGGAATGTGATGCATAATAAGAAAAACGTTAATTAATATATTTTCGGACGATATATATATCTTAAATTTTAATTAAACCATGAAACTACATTGAGCGGTCTCAAGGCCTACAAGATATGAAGGCAAAAATATGGTTTGTACTCAGGACGTCACTAATAAGTGTTAACTTTAAATTAGGAAAATTAAAGCACAAAACTCAGTCAACCAAACGAAATATTTTTATAACATGTAATTGCACTTAAATTGCAGTAAAAAGTGTTTTGTCACTGAATTATGATATAAAATGTGGTCCGTGAGTATGCTTCAAAATGCTCCAGTGTGTTTTATGACCTAATTTATATCATTGCATACTTTAGAGAGCACCTTTAATTTATTTTAAATCATGTCATTTTGGTGTCACTCCCTTTGTATTGCACTTCATGACTATAAGTGAAACTTGAATATTTATAGTAATTGTAAATAAAGTGATCTCACTCCCCTTTAACCAATAAATCGTTTTCAAGACAGGTGTAATTTTCTTTGTTGGCCGAACTGAAAGGTAATTATCAATTTGAAATATATAGACTTCCCGGCACCCATACTAGAAATTTAGACCGTCGGAGGTCTCCGTCTCGACTCTTATCAGTCAAGCGCCAAAGGCCACACATCATTGCAGTAATCATTATAGGAGGAATACATATGTATGTATATACAATTATTTGCAAATTGCTCTGAATGAAGTGGAAGTGTATTCATTGCTTTATAATAACACAAACGCACCCTGGGTGAAAAAAAAATATTTAAGGGGTGTAAACAACAACAATGGATGGGGCAGTACAACAACAAAAACAACTGGAGCAACAACAGCATTGAGAGAGTGAGAAAGAGAGAGAGAGTATGTACACTTCCAGAGCAAGGGAAAGTTTGTGTGGGGCTGTAGAATGTCGCCCTTGCAAAAAGTCTTCCCTTTCGTATAATTTAATCATAAGCCCAGCGCCTTTAATTGGCTTAGTCGCAGCAGCAAACGGCGAATATTACTCACCGTTTTGGTTCCTCGGGGAATGTAGGGTGTTACGAAGAGCGGGGGTGTGTGTGTTTTGCTGCTTTTGGCTTTTGTGTGTGTGATTATTGTTGTTTGTCGAGGGGCGGGCCAGCGAAATGCTTGAAATCTGGATAGCAGCAACTAATTCCTGTGCAGTTACACACACTGGAGTTCGGAAAGGACACCAGAAACAGAGAATTATTCCAATTATTTGTAATTGGCAAAAAATTGCGACTTTGTTGATATTTCTCAGAGATGAAAACACATCGATGTTCCTATCGATACAGCCAATGTTATTTTAGCATGATGCATCGATATATCGATATATCATATCTCACTTTAATGAGAGAAAGCAGTTATTAAAGTAGCCTTTTTTCAAATAGCGGATTCCCCATACAACTGAGTTACTGAAAATAAAGGGAATCGTATAAGCTATGTATATATTTATTGACTTTTTTTACAAATGCAACAATTATATATATGGTGGAATTTAAATGTGTGTATGCATAAAACGGCCCAACGGAACACGATTTCCTTCAAGAATAAATAAGGTTCTTCACAGTAGCTTATATTTCATATTTGCGAAGGTGAATAAAAATGTTCTATAATTTTCAAGACATGGCCGAACGCAAATGTGTATGGTGCTAATTATTGGATATGGAGTTCAAAGTTTCAAGAACTTCTGAAATGCAATAAAAAAATGTTGTAAACGTTTATATTACAAGCAATTATTAAATTTTTTTAGCGGATAATATAAGTTATTAATTGTTGCAATAGATAAGAAATATACTTAGCTCTAGCCATATTATGGGTATTTTAGCTGGTAAACTACCGGTATAAAACGTCCAAGGTGCCAGCACTGTCGTTGTTAAGAAACAGCTGTGAAACAATGTGACCAGTCATTTTCACTCTAGGCGCACGTGCGCGTTTCGTTTTTGTTTATGCTGTAATATTTAACTTATTGCGGCCAACATGTTTGTTAACGAAGTCAACGATGTGAAGATCTACAACCTGAGCGCCGGCAAGTCGGTGCCGGATGTGAGTAGCAGCCGTCAGAGTCCTTTATAGCTCTTTAACCAAGATTAATTTCCAGTGGCTCACCGACAGACGAAAGCGGTCGCAGCTGAAGAAAAAGGTGGACTCGCGGCGCCAGATCGAGCTCATTCAGGACTTTGATATGCCCGGCGTGTGCACTAGCATCCGCATGAGCCCCGACCATCAGTACATCCTGGCAACGGGCACGTACAAGCCGCGCGTCAAGTGCTTCGAGGTGTCCAATCTGTCCATCAAGTTTGAGCGCTGTTTTGACTCCGAGGTGACCACGTTCGAGGTGATAAGCGATGACTACAGCAAGATGGTCTTTCTGCAGTGTGATCGCTACGTGGAAATACACGCCGCCCACGGTCGCCACTACAGATTGAGAATACCGCGCTTCGGGCGCGACATGAAGTACCACAAGCCCAGTTGCGACATGTTCATAGTGGGAGTGGGCAGGGTATGGCTAGACTATAACCATTTTATTTCAACCGAATATTAAGCTATTTAACTTTCAGGACATTTACCGGCTTAATTTGGAGAGGGGACAGTTCCTTCAACCATTCGAGACGGACGCCAGCTGTCTAAATGCCTGTGAAGTGAACCCAGAGCATCATCTTTTGCTGGCCGGCACTAAGGAGGGCACCGTGGAAGCATGGGATCCGCGAACTAAGCAACGCTGCGCCACGCTAGATGTTGCCATGAAGCTACCAGGCGTCAAAGAGTTTCCATCAGTGACCGCTCTGAAATGCCGTAATGGTTTGCATATGGGCGTGGGAACGGCTTCAGGTCATGTTTTGATCTACGACATCCGTGCCAAGCAGCCGCTTCTGGTGAAGAATCATCTCAATCGACTGCCCATCAAGCGACTCGCCTTCAATCCTTCCCAGAATGCCGTCTACAGCTTGGACGAAGCCACATTGAAGCTGTGGGATGAGCAGACGGGGAAGCAGATCGCCTACGTGGAGTCTACCTCGTCTTTCAACGATTTTTGTACCATCCCAGAGACGGGTATGTTCTTCTTGGCCCAGGAGGATGTAAAGATGTTGACTTACTACGTGCCAGCCATGGGCCCTGCCCCGCGCTGGTGTTCATTCCTTGATAATCTCACCGAGGAGATCGAGTCTGAGGTGGTGGAGAATGTCTACGATGACTACCAATTCGTGACGGCTAAGGAGCTTGCAGAACTGGGAATGGAGCATCTCGTTGGCACCAATCTGCTTAAGGGTTACATGCACGGTTACTTCATGGACGCTCGGTTATACAACAAAGCCAAGGCCGTTGTGGAACCCTTCGCCTTCGATCGTTTCCGCAAGGATAAGATCCGACAGGAGATCGAAAGTGAGCGCAAGTCGCGACTTCAAATTGAATCCAAGCTACCCAAAGTCAACAAGGAATTGGCTCTCAAAATCATGGATGAACAAGCCAATCCCTCCAACAGTGCCAAGCAACGCAATGTTCCCAATCTGCTGGAGGATACGCGTTTCAAGGCCATGTTCGAGAACGCCGACTTTGCAGTCAATAAAGAGGCTGAGGAGTACCGTCTCCTGGTTCCAGTTCTCAATCGTCTCGATAAATCCAAGGCCAAGGAGCTGAAGAAGCGTGTGGAGGTGGCTCGCGTGGCCGAACTGCACGCCGATGAGGCCCAACCGAGAGAGGAAAGCGACAATGATGAGGATCTGTTTGGTTTCGAAAAGAGCGACGGCGAGAAGAGCGATGATAGCGGTGACGATGCCTCCTCCGACGATGACGACAGAAGGGAGTACGTAAAGGAAATGAAGCAGGCTTACAAGCAGGTAAAACGAACTCGCGATGAAGAAGAAGACGAGGACATGGAAGAGAATGGAGACAATAATCAAGATGAAGAGACTACTGGAAGCGGGACAAGACCTTTGGCCAATGGACACAGTAGGGTTCCTCCTGCAACAAATGGTGCAATCAACCGCTTCACCATGACGGCCCTGGACAAGCATCAAAGCGGCAGTGCGATGCAGCAGCGGATCAAGCAGGCTAGCCTTCAGGATCGCGTACGCGTGATGTCCCAGCTGGAGGGGCAGGTGACCAATGTGGGACGGTCGCTTGGCAATCGTCAGATGACATTCGAGGTGAACAAGCAAAAGAAATCACAGTTCCATGCCAAAAAACGAGAGGCCGAGCTGAAAAGACATCGCGAGGAGCGAAGAAGCATCGTTAGACCCATCAAATCCCTTCGTCTGAAGAAGGTAAACTTTAAGTAGCACCAAAACAAATATTGCAATAGTTTCGTGTACATAAAATCATAAATGTTAAATTATTTTATTTATTGTTTGTCGAACGAATGGTATCTCTGGGGCGGACAATTAAGTGTATTTGCAGTGGCCTCACTCTGTGGAAGAGGTAAAGTCCGAGTGGATGCCGCTATCCCCACCATCGCTTAACCCCATATCCTCGTCTTCATCTGGGATTAAATGCAAATCTTGTTCTGCGTTGTCAATGTTTCCTGATGAATGTTGATTAATATGAAACCTTTATGGTCATATGCTGGATAACTTACTGTCCTTTGTGACAGGAAGATTATTCACCAAGTGGAGAAGAGCTTCAGTAACCGGGCCTGTCTTCGGCTTGGGCATCTTATCAAAATACAAGCGAAAGAACTGTTCCGCATTGGTCAGTTCTAGGAATTTTTCAGGCCTTCCTGTCTGAGTACAGACCAACAAGGCTGATTGCTCTGCTCCCATTTTCTCAAATGAATGCCACTTGTCAGACCCAAAGTATTATTTGACATGATAGAAAGTTTTGAAAGTCATGCTAACCAGGGATGACAAAGAAATCTCTTTGAGAATTGAAATTTATTCAAATGGCATTCAAAAGTATGCTAAAAAACGGTAAGAAATATTTTGTAGACGCCTTTCCGATAAATTTTCAGAGCAGTTTGATTTCTGTGAAACTTTAACAGTGTACATTTTTATTTCGAAATTTATATTAGAGAGTTAAGTCCGACCGTAACAAGTGTTTTTAAATGTGTAGTAAATATCCCACGGTTAAAAAAAATTTAAGACATACGGGAAATCGTTGATGACTTAGCTTTTCAAATAATCTGAAATTGAGTCCGTAAATATAGCATTGCACTTCAGATGAATTCTTAAGAATAGGATATGACTTTCTAATAACATTTCCTTTTAGTTCATTTAATAAAATGCAGTAGCACCGATATATTTTATATGCCTCTATATGTGTAAGCAACCGGAATTAGTTTGTAACCCATTTCTTTCATTGAAGAGCTGACTTTTATTAGCAATTTATAATTTTCAAGCAACTTAATTTATTAAGTAAATACCAATTGCTAATTGACATGCCATTTCGAATCTAGTTCGAAGTAAACACTTAGTCACTGTTCAACAAAATCTCTTTTTTTATAACTGAAAAGTTGTATCTTTTAATTTGTAAGCTGAGCTTTCACAGCTTTTGCTATTGACCAACTCGCCGGGCTCAAAGCTAAAGCTTAGGTTCGGATTTCGAACGATCTTTTTCTCATCAAGTTTACTTTGCGAAGCTAAATTTTAACTTTAGATCCATGGCTGGTATAAATAGGAAGCTGCACCAGAATTTTCAACTCATTTTAAGTTTTTCCTTTGTGCTGTTGGTGTCTGTTTTTAAAAAGAAGGTATATAATTTTTATTAAAAAAAACAATAGTGGTAGAATCCTCGGGTAGTTGAAAGTTAAAGGTGTCCCTCGATTGTAAAGTCTTTTTTGGAACTTCTTCAAAAACTTGTTTATATTCCTATGTGCCATATTTAAAGAACCTTTACCATTTCATATCTATGTTTTAAAGTTAATTAACTGTTAACTATTTTTTAAAGTCTTGCATGACATTAGCAAAACCTCTTTTGAATAGAACTTCAAGCTTCAGCAACTCGTACTCATCGACTTGATAATAATAATATTTTCCATGCCATTGCAAAAGCAGGCTAATTGAGGCCTACAGCTTGGCGTAATGACATACACAGAAATACACAAAGAGATTTAAAAACTATTGAGATTATATCTAAAAAGTCTGCCAACCGGTTGTACACAGGCCCATAAATACACAGATAAAAGAGACAAAATAAAATAAAAATAAAAAATAATCAAGCGAGACTTGGCTCAGACAGCCGGCCTGTCAAACGTCTGAACTTTAGCATATTGCAAGACAACGCGAGGCTTGTCTTGAGGCTTAAACAAGGTCTCTTCGCGGCGCCTGCGACAAAAAACCTGGAGGGGGTCGATGATCAATCCGAATCCGATCGGTACTGAACCCCCATCCACCTTGAACCTGAAGTGCGATTGAGGAAGTACTTAGCCCTCTTTGTAGTGCACGTGTTTTGGTTTAATTGTCACACACATCATTACATTCGATCCTAATCGAATGGGTAATGACAATATAAAAACAAATAATAATAATAAGTCAACTCTTCTAGGAAAGCATACTGAAAACTCGTTTGGGCTTTATACGGTTTTCGTTCATGGCCAAAAACCAGTTTGATGATTTTGGAAAAAATTGTATTTAATCAATATGCAACTTGGTCATTTTATAATTGCAAAAAGTCTGTTTATTTGTGATGGGTTATTATTTTATTTCGAAGAACCAGAAGATTTATGAGCCAGTCGTGATTGAAATGTTGATTTAGTTGTCGCTAATTTAAACATTTTAATTTTGAATTTTAAAGTCATCTTTAGGTAGCTGCTGACCTTGAAGGTAAAAAAATTAAGGCCTAATCTTAAATCTCTTGAGATTCAAACTGAAACTGCTATGTACTGCCATAGATATTGAACACATTGTATGTATAATTAAGCTGGCGTTGACAAACTGCATAATTGGGAGCTGGTTTTCAAAGTGTAACTACCTACGTTAACGTTAATTTATTAAGAAAGAAAAACTTTAACACAGCCGAGCAAGTCAAGGCCAGCGAATTCGTCTCACTTCACTGCAAATGCTAATTAATTAATTTATGGAAAACTAGTAATATCAATTAAAAAAAATCACACAAAAAAGGTTGAGGAAAGCTTTCAAGATTTACACGCCATAATTTCAATGATCTTATCGCATTGATAAATTGTGATTACGATAATTCAAGAACAAATAGAATTCTTGAATAATAAATAGAAATATAAAATGCTTTCAAATGCTTCTTAAAATATTATTGAATACATGTTCTCCTATCTCTTATTATAATTCCATTTTTTATAGCCTAAAATCTGCTAACCGTTGTTGTTAATTAAATTATAATAATTACTACTGATCACAGGTGGAAACCTATTAGTAAACTGAACTTCTTGTAGGAATCCTTTTTAATTAATATTAATAAATAAATGTCTTAATTTTTCAGCAGAAATGTTCCGTTTTCTGGTAGTTGCCGTTTGCCTGGCCATCAGTGTCCACGCCTACTCGGACGGTGCCCCCAAGACTGCCTGCGCGGATCTGACGCCCCAGCACGGCGCCAAGCTGCAGACGATCAAGCCCCCGTACAGCTTGTCCGGACCGGCTCATGTCCGGTCGAACGAGAAACTGAAGTTGACACTGGGCGGTGATGAATTCAAGGGCTTCATTATCCAAGCTCGCGATGGCCAGAATCGCGTCGTCGGCAAGTTCCAAGTGGTGGATGCTGCCCACTCGCAGACCCTGTCCTGCTCAGGATCGGATGACACCCTTACCCATCGGAAGATCAATCAGGATAGTCCCGTGACCCAGGTCACTTTCGAGTGGGTGCCGCCAGCAGGTTACAAGGGCAACGTCAAGTTCATGGCCTCCGTGGTCCAGAGCAGCTTCGTTTACTGGGTTGGTCGTGTGACCAAGGACATCAATGTCGAGGAGCCATAGGATCTTTTCTCGGTGCATGTGATAGAAAAGTTTGCAAAAGTTTACCTTAAATGTTCCGTTTACCAATGGGAGCAAAGTATTTTGAAAAATAAAGTCTACGTTAAAAAGAGATTGGTGGACATTTATTTATATAGAATGGAAGTTTGGGGTTAATTTTAATAATAATTTCAATTTTAAATATTGAAAACTGTTTGAGTTGAAGTGGAAAATGTGACTCCTCAAAGGCATGTGTTTTGAAAAATTTGTCTAGATATTATTTAAATCATAATCAATATTCAAATTCTTGTAATATTAACAAAAGTTATTATTTTAATAATTTAAAATTTTCCTAACATATATAATATATATGAGAATTTTTACAAATTTAAAATTTTCCTAACAGCTTTTTTGCAAGCAGTTAAGTGTCCTACATGTTAGCTTTCAGATGTCTGCGCCAGTCAGCTGATTACCGAGTGCAACAAGTTGGCAGCGCCATCACTGCGCCGGTTCAATTGACGCAAAAGTTGTTTTATAAGAAATAATAAATTAATGTTTTAACCGCTTGAAATGCTGCGAAGTCTTGTACGCAGCTTGGAGACGGCTTTCCAGTTGAATAGACCGTTGAACGCAAACGCTGGATCGCGTCTCTGCATAAGGCGCTCGCTCTTTTCGCAGTTCGAAGGCCATGCCGTTCCGAGGAAATCTCTGCTGACCGCCGCGGCAGAAACCACAAATGCGACAACGGCGCCCGTTGGCAGTGAGACGGACAATGAGTATGTGCCGTATCGGCCAGAGCTGGAGAAGGGCACCAAGGCCAGTGTTCTCGTCGAATTGCTGCGTGAACGCTTCCGCTTCTCGGACACAGAGCTGCAGCGGATCATGACCGACGATGTGGTGCATCGCAACTACCGTGGACGCGCGCTGGCCATGACATTGGATACGCTGCAGGTGGAAGGGGTTAACAGACGCAGCTTGGTTGAATATCCCTGGGTAATAGGCCAGGACAGCAGTGAGTGTTATCATTATTGGGTATATGTATATTTTCGGCCAATAAACTAATGCCATTGCAGAACGTTTGGAGCTTAAGTTGCAGCTGCTCAAGTCAATGGATATTACGGATATCAACCACTTTGTGCCTTTCCTGCGCCTCACAGTGCCACGACTCCGGAAGCTGGTCAGCGCCCTCAACTCAGAGAGGAGCGCGATGCCGCAGAGGAACCGCGTCTACTACATCAGTGAAAAGCTGGAGGTCAGCCCCGATCTCGTTGCCAAATACCTCTCGAAGCGGCTCTTTATACTAGAGATGCCTTACGAAATGTTCGAGAAGAACCTCCATCACATGATTGACTACAATGTCTCGCCTATTAATATCCTAAAGGACCTTTGGGCCTTTCGCTACACTCCCAAGGCTGTCCAGTTGCGACTGGAGCGCGCAAAGCGGGCAAAGAAAGATAAGATTATGCCGTGGATGGTGCGCTGTCCGGAGCCCATATTACAGCGTTCGCTGAAGCTAACCCTGGACGAGCTGCAGGTGCTGGGCGAATTCTCCTCCGTGGTGGAGTATGTGGCGCATCGGCTAGGCTTTACAGTGAACGAGGCCAAGGGGATTATGGACAGGCATCCGCAGGTGCATACCGTGCGAGTGACAAAGGTGAGTGTATGAACATTCAATATAAAATTAAATCACAAATCTTGACTGTGTTCCTTAGATCAAGGAGGTCATCGATTATCTACTCGATGAGGCGAAATTTACAAGATTCGAGGTGGCCCAAGTGCCTCGTATTTTGTGCCACAGCCTGAAAACCACCAAGAAACGAATAGAGGAGCTGAAATCCCACGGCTGTCGACCCTCCTCTCTTGTGATTATCTGTCGCAGCAGAAGGGAGTATGATAAGTTCCTAAAGCATTGGGTAAGCCATGGCAGAGATCCCGAAATTGTTTCTGTTCCATGAGATAGGGAGATCGCTTCTGGAAGAGTCAATGACTCAATCTGTTGATTTTATATTTAAGCGTTTGCATTAAATAAAATGTATGCCTAAAAATGAAACTGAAAAGTTCCTCCTGAAGGATTTTGATCATGATTTTGATTTTTCGACTCTTTGGTCACATTTATTACATAAAGCAACTGCTTACACACATTGGAATACATTTATTAGACATAAATAATTAATTTAAATAGATATAATTGGTTTAAATATTTTGCTTAGCTAACATTTAAATACGAATTGTGCTCCGTTTCGAATACCATTGCGTAGTTGTACTTCAACAGAGAAAAAGCTGTTTGATTTGTGACTGACTTTGAAGGCAGCGAAGACTTGGAGAACGTAAATATAAAGCTATCAAAACATAAACCTCAACTCCAACACTCGCACCTCCATTCCAATAAGCTCGAATACTCTTTCCATCTCGACAGAGGGACACTAAACTAAAAGCTAAAAACATCTTTGTGCTGACTTAGAAATATCTTTGGTTGCATGTATAGCACACAATGAATAGACTTTGGATTAGATTGATTGTACTTTCGACTTAGTCGCGCTGAGAGCGCCGCCTCTCCAACGCCACCTGCATCGACCAGATGCTTAATGGTCGCATATAACCGATGGAACGATAGCGTTTCTCCCCATACAACGCTTCTGGGGTCTCAAAATTCATGCCGATGCGCTCGGAAATGGTCTTGTACATTCCGCCGGCCGTCTGAAAGGCCTCATCGAACATTCCCTCCTGGATCATGGTGGCTGCCAGGGCATAAACCACACCTGGCCACACCTCCTCGGCCTGGATGTTGCTGCCGTCCACATGGCCAGGTTTGGTGGGCTCACTGGAGTTGGCAATGAAGCCATTGGCCGCCCCGATATTTCCATCGTGAAAGCCCATGACATTGTTGTCGTAGATCCTCTTGAGAGCCGTTCGCACATTCTCCTTCGGGTAGATCTCGTAGTCAAAGCCACAGGACTTTAGATACCAATGACCGCACAACTGATCCGCCATAATGGTGTCCCGATGGCCGTGCGACAGATCGAAGCGATAGTAGCTGCCATTCCAGAGCTTCTCCTCCATCGATCGCTTGCCCTTCTCGAGAATATCCTGATACCGCAGGCAATCGTTCGGCTGATCGAGTATGGTGGCCATGGCCGACATGGCCTGTAGAGCGGCTAGCCAGAGACCCGAGCAATATGCACTGGGGCCGTCCATAACCCACGAGTCGTAGGTCTGATCCGGCATCTTAGTGTTTTCTATCAGGCCGTCGTTGTCCTTATCATACTCAATGGTCCGCTCCATAATGGCCTTGCAGGGACCGTACATGGCTTTCAAATAGCCCATGGCGTCCATTAGGTAGACCTTACCATTGGTTTCGTTGATGTACATGGATGCAGATTTACGATTTTCTAAAAAAAAAAACCACGAGAAATTTGTTTAAAATAAAATCCTAATAAGCAGAGCCTATACTTACGCTGCTTCTCATCCGCCGAATTCTTACGTTTGTTGTCCTGAGTGTACATCTCATACAAGCTCTCCTTGTCTATAAATTCGATGGAGCTGAACTTGCTGGCATTATCTGCCTGGGCCTGGGCCAGTTCATTGAGGACATAGTAGTCACGGTAGACTTGCAAAACGAACTTTGTATTGAGATCCTTCCAATCGTTGACATCGTGAATATTGTAGCAGTTAATGAGTGTGAAGGGTTCTGCAATGCAAAAATTCTATTTTAATCTAGGAATTCTAGGCAGACTGGCTTCTGTAAGACCTCACCCTCATCGGGATCACCCAGATCGTGGGGTACACAGTTCTTAACCTTTCGCGGCATCACTTTGCCATCGTACAGCATTTTCCGGGTGTCACTTAGCTCTGCGGCTATGGCATCCTTAAAGTCATACTGCAAACTGACTTGCAAATTGGGCCAGAGATGGGCCAGCGCCGGCGAAGCATAAAAATGGACATCGTAGGTGTTGTACATGCGATACTCATGGCCCTCTAGATATCCAAATCGGCCATAGGCCAGCCTGGGATCATCATAGGCCAACTCCTTGCCCAGCGAAGAGTCGCACTTTAGCCAGATGGTGCCACCATCCGAAATAAAATACAATTGGTTGAAAATGGCGCATTTGTACCAGTCAGGCAGGGTCCTGCAATAAGACTTAGATTAAGATTTACTCATTTATAATTAGCTATAGTTAAGACGCACTCATCGTTGAGAATGGGTCGCTGCCAGGCATCTATTAAACGCTCCCAACTGGCATAGTTCTTGAGGGCATGGTCACAGATCTTTGGGCCAGACTCGCCGCTGTCATCAAAGTACTTGGTGTAGTAGCGAGTGTGTGTCTGCATCTTTCGGGGGAACTGAATCTTGGGCATGTCCCAGGCCAGCACAAACTCCAGCTCGTGCGAGGCCTTTGGCTTTAGGGCCACCTGAGCGCAAACAGCCACACCAATGTCTTTGGCTGAAAAGCAACAAAAAGTTAATTAGAAAAGCTCTTAATATATTGTATTAAGAGCACAATAAGCTTACTCTTCAGGGTCTCCGTGGTGGGTTGCTCGCTGAGCTGTCCGTGCTCCTTGAGCTGGGCCCACAGCTGCTCTCCATTGCCAGCTGGATCGAACTGGGGACAGCGGCTAATGCTGATCTCGGGAAGGACGCGACAAGCTAGGTTATAGCTGCAGGGCATGTCGGCAATCTTTTGCCTAATGGCAACACCCTTGGCATTCCCCTCGCTGATAAGCTGAGACTCGGCTCCGCCTTCGGCATCCTGTTTTTTGTTTCCGGTTCCGTTCTTAAAGGTAAACGTAATGGACACCTTCCGCTCCTGATCCCCCACATTCTCCACGCTCCAGACGAAAACGGCGCAGGGCAAACTAGACTCCCGATACTCGTGCGGAATGACGGGAGATACTTGACGACAGGTCAGACGCACCCCATAGTGGGAGAGATCATACTCGGTCCAGGAGCGCGGATAGAGTCCCGTGTAGCTGCAACGCGCATCCTCGATATTGGAGTGCCAGGCATTCAGCGGCTGCTTGGAGCGACTGCTGCAATTGGGCAGTTGACATTTAGTTTTCTCACCATCGGATCCATCCGGATCGCTGCCGTTGCTGCTGCCCCTGCTGTGATGGGTGTGGTGTGTGATTGCAGGTGTCGCAAAGCAAGAAAGCAAAACCAAATCGGAACCAAAGTGCAAGCCCAACAAAGCCAAAGAAAGACCATACCATACCAAACGATCGTCGTGGCGTCACATAACCCAAAATTAACCCCGAATCGGAATCGGTGGTGGTTCGTATGCAAACATATCCAAGTGGTATCGGGTGTTTTGTCGTTAAGAGTTGCGTGTTTAATAATTCAATTGATGTGTGCATCGAAAATGAGAGAAAATATATTGAATTTTTGAAAAATATGATCTGTTTTTGATTAGAGTTTTCTTTTGAGTGCTCTTGGAATCGTTCTGTCTTGGAGAGGGATTTCGATTGTTAGTTTACAAAGTGTTTTATGGAGTATTAAACGATCACATTTCATAAGGTGAAGTATAGGTACGGATTATTACAAATGGGTGAGATACAGGTGGAAAATTATACCCAAAAATGGGATTTGTTAGGAAGTTTAGAAGGAAAGTGTGCTCAGTGTCTTCAGGAAGTATTTACAAAATAGATTTATGTACAGCACAGAGACTACGATGAAGCCGCAGATTATTTCCTAAAGTTAGATATATACTAAAATTTATTGTCTGGTTGATAACAGACATTCTTTTTGCTATATTGCACATATATCTGCTATATTTAGACTCTTATAATACTTTCAATCAATCTAATCCCAAACTGCCCCTATTATTTCCAGCTAATGAGACAGCCATCAAGTATGACATAAACTAAAATGAACCAAGAGTTAAATGGCCCGAATAATCTGCACGCGATAAGCAAAGAGTTCGTTGATCCATATGGTGAATATTTCAGCTCATTCCTCATCATCAAAATAGAAAATTGACAAATAAAACTTAAATCATAGCCATCGTCAAGCTACTCACAAATAAGGAGAATGGGTGTAAGGTTGCGTAATAAATTTAAAATGTGATTTAAAGACATGCAAACAACACGAAGCTAAATCTTTTAATGAATAACACAAATGTATTGTAATGAAATTTGGAAAGATAAACAATAGACTCACCTGCACTTGGAGAGCAGACTCTGAAAGATGGTGCATCCTTTGTGGTCCTTAATGGTCACAATAAACTGATTGGCCTGGACGACATTGTACTCGTAGATGCCGGGACGCATCTGGAAGCGACAGAATTCACCGGCATAGCCCCGGCCAATGGTTCCACCACCAATTCCACCAATGGGTACTCCATAGATCTGCTTGCCGTTCTCCATGTAGTAGTAATCCATGTACACCCGGCGACCTTCACGCGACACTTTCCAGTAGTAGGCCGCATATCTGTCGCAATAAAGATACAAAAAGAGAGAGAGAACAAGGGAATGAAAAATCAGATTTTAGTGGCTAATGTTTTTCCATTTCCCTGCCATCCAATTGCCCGCCCCTTTGGGCCTGACCCCGATGATGTCATGTCAAGCACCCCTAGTTTTCTGTACACGCACAGAGCATTTGGTGGGGTCGTCTGACTTGGCTTAACGTTTCCTATTCCCTCCACTGGGGTGATGATGGGGCCTCTTTGAAGGTCAGCGAGTGTCTCAGTTGCCAAAGTCAAGTGCAAAACAGTCATGTTTAGGAAGGGGGATGGGACCAGACATTGTCAACTACACGGAAATGCTTTAAAAGCCTGGATAAATCTATATTAAGACTTATGTATCTAAAGATGTTGCAAATTGTTAAAGTTTAAATTTAACATCTAATTATTCTTTGTACATTTATTTCCTTTATAATGAAGACGTCTTTCAGCAATCTAAGCCAAGGCATTGAACCATAACAAAGAGAAAAACAAATATGGATAGATACTGATAAGATATCTTTCTCAAATCTATACTCAAATGTTACGCCTTCTGAATCAGAAACGCCATCAATTTACTGGCTACCAAATATCTCCCAATTTAAACAGATAATTTAAACGTAAAAAAAAGGACATAAGAAATGTACACAAAACAGTTAGCGTCGATCACAGCGGAGGGATCTTCTCGGCATCCCCGGCGCCTGCATTGTCGCTGTTCGAGCGTTTCTGTAGCTTCTGGTTCACCTCTGAAACTTGAGAAACCTGGAGCTCTTCGTCACACAAGGCGGAGGCGATCAGCTGGGAGACGAACTCGGCACGCTGCTCCAGGAAGGCAGTCTGCTCGTCAGCCGATTGCGTCTGGCTGGGATTCAGGAAGCGATGGCAAAGGAAGCGCTCGCGTTCCTTGTTGCTCTCCTTGCTATCCGTTGCCGGCTTGTCATCCAAGGTGAGACGTGCCATCTCGGCGGCAATCAGGCTTAGGCTGAGCACCTCGCTGTCCTCCACCCGTTGGTCACTGAAGTTCACCGAGCGAACAGCTAGAGCCCGGGAATGGACGGCGGGTCCTAGCGATTGCAGACTTACTCCGCCACTTGCAATACCAGGGACATTCGGCGCCATCCTGGAGGTCCGATGTCGTGGCTCTCGCGGACGTGAATTCGGAGCCATCTGAATACTATTATTTTGCACATTTGGGGACTGGTTCAAGTGGGAAATTTGGCCATAAACATTCACGCCTCGCCCGGCTCCCGCTGTGGCAGTTGAGGGATCTGCTCCAGGGGGCTGCAGCCAGGGCACGGTTCTCTGTCTGGAGCGATGGGATCGACTGACGGCGGGAATTATGTCGTGCGGCATTGATAGCGTTCCGCCGTAGAAGCGCATCATCTCGGACATTGTGGGATGTGGAATAAGAGGCGGGTTTGCTGTTGCCGGTGGAGGTTGCGCCGAGGTGGAAACAACCTGCTGGGCAGCGGCACGCAGGGTAGTGGGCACCTCCAGTCCTGCCACCACGAAATTCAGCCGTGAGTGTCCCGATTCTGTGATTATATAGCGCGGCGCCATCACCTCTTGGCGACGGTTGGAGGTTTCGGAGCCAAGCGAACTGGAGTTGGGACTACTGATGGTGATGGCGGGCGGAATGGTGGGATTCGCTCCGGATGCCTGAGGCGGAAGAGATGCCCTTATGAAGGGATTACTGGGCGGCCTGCCTCTGTTTGCTGCTGCACCACCCGAACGCCTCTGGCGATGGGCCCGCTCTCTGGCCACCTCGTTGCCCCTGGTCGCCTGAGTACCCACCGACTGTCCGGTTCGAAGGTAACTGCCATCTGGATTTAGCTGTTCCAAGAAAAGATCGAGAGAGCCTACTGAGCGGCGCATCTGCTCGTTGCGCGAAACGGCCGCCGCCGAAATGGAGGCCAGCTGCTCGTCCTCCAGGAAAAGGCGGGCCGCCTGCTGCTGCTCAAAGAGCGTGATCATTGTGGACACCAGCAGTGGACTTGCGCCCGGATGCTGGGCCGAAATATGCTCCAGGAAGGTGGACTCATTGAAGCCCCACTGCTTGCAGTACGGGCAGCGGTAGCTCTGCGGCGGATCGCTGCTAATGTACTCCCCGCCAAAATACAGCTCCACGTCCGACTGCGTGTAGACGCACTTCACCGGATGGTCGAAGGGATGGTCGGCGTTGGTGAAGTCAATCTCATAGCAATCCGCACAAATGGCCAGGTTGCGGCAAGTTAGGCAACGGTAGCATCTGCCCGTGAACTCCACCTTTCCGCATCCGGTGCAAACGACGCCCTCGTGGCGGTTCATTCTTACTCAATCGCGTCTGAGTGCAGAGGATCGGCGCTCAGCGGGCAGTTGGATTATCTTCAAATCCACAAAATTCGGACAAAACGATATTTGAATGAATTTATCAACTGAAACTGAGTGGATTGTTGAAACTCCCCAGAGCAGAGTGCGCTCGACTGATTTTTTAGAAGCTGACGGGTAAGCTGACAGTCGATTCAAGGAGAGAAACAATATTTATTGTTTTATACTCGATATAAGAATATTTTCCTAGAGAACTTACTCATCTTGTTATTCTAAGGTCTATGGTTTTATTATGTTATTTTTATGAGGTTTATTGCGAACAATGAAGTTGATTAACCAACCCAAAACAAAGTTACTTTCCTGTCTCAAAAAACCTATGTCAACTATAATATTTTCTGTTCTAGCCACTCCCTAATAATTATTCCCAAAAGCAATTCCTCAAACTTTTATGCTTCCCACCAACTGTAAAATTGTTAAAGGAAACTTTACCCGGGTCAGTGTGGGTCAAGTGAAGGCGCTGAAGAAGGAGAAGTTGGGAAAAGGATGGGGCCACAAATTACTTGTGTAAAGGAAGTTAGGTGACGTCGTCTATTTACTTCTATATATATGTGTATTAGTGTACCTGTAATATATATATATATATATATATAGCCAGGTGAAAAGTTTGTTTGTGGTAGGGTGACATTTTGGGACATTTTACTGTGCTACAAAACTTTGATAAGTACGTATATATTTTTGTAATCATTCAAACAAGGTTTATGGCAAAGCTTTTATTATTTCTAAATGATTTTTATATTTAAAAGAACCCAAATATGTCTATTATCTTTTTCTTAAAATATAAAATCCCTGCATATAGCACATCCAATTTAAGGTCACGTATTGCTAACAAAAAGAAAACCAAACTGAACTGAATCATTGTCGATTTAAAAACCAAGCACAACTAAAAAACCAAAGAGAGAGAGAGAGTAGACACTTTCCCTGAAGGGAATTCATTTTTTATAACGACATATACAAGATTTTCATCTTTCCACAAAAGTTGCAGTCTTGTACATGAAAACCAATAACGAAAAGTGCTCTGCCTGACTGGGCATACACATCCATATGTGTGTTATTATTTGTTGAGTGAGAGGACGAAAAAAGAAAATGAAATGTGCTAGGACTCCAGAGCAAGTCCAGAGCTATTCGCAGATTTGTTTTCAAATGCACTGAAAAGAGGCTAAAGATGTTCTACAGATATATACATATATGTCGGGAGTACACATCTCCTTGGGAGCTTGCCAAAAATATTTGATGTTTGACAGACAGACACTGGGGAGGTGGCTCCCAAGTAGGAGCTGGATGGTGGTTACATGTCAGTCTCTCAACTTGATACCCGGGGGTTAGGTGCTGCTGGCTTGGACTCCAATTGTGTGAAAATGGCTGGCAATAAGGAAGGAGGAAATAGCTGAAACTGTGTCGTCCATTGAACTCGAGCATGAGGTTACAGTGGAACAATAAAGAATCTCTGATCAATGTCGGCTTAAAAAAGGGAAATGACCGATTTATCGACCTCCTGACATAAATATGAACGTATGTACATACACATATGTTTTATATTCTACCTTCTGTGAATTCTATCTAGTTTTTGGGTCAAAGATGCATGTTAAGAAGAGCATTGTTGATAATCCATCTAGATTTTTTTGAGGTCATAAGGACCCAATACGATGTTTTATGATGAAGAAGAAGAGGTCACAAGGAACTATCAAGTTTTATCTGAGATCATATCAAAAAACTTGTATATACCCTTTATATTTAAGGGTATTTTTGAACTCAAATATATGTCTAACCAAATTATAAGATGTCATATGAATTCTTTTAAAGTCATTTGGATTTAATTAGAAATATTGTGGATTATTTGGTCAATACGAGGTTAATAAGATTACTATTACAGTTTCAAAATATGTCACTAAGATATATTTTAAGGTGAGGAAATCTTAGTAAGTGATATTGATATAATATGAATTATATTATTATATAATAATTTTTAACACATTGCTATGCCTAGTGCTTTCTGAATGACTGTTTAATTAATACATTGGTAGTTTTTGATAAATAAAATAATCTATTATCTTTATATAGCTGAGACAAGGAATATACCTTTGATACTGTACTTATCAAACGTATAGGAGATTATTTGTCGAGAAACTCTTACTCAAGCATTCCCTTTTAACATATGTACCTGTTCTAAAGAATAAATATTTCTTTGTAAAAATCTAAAAAACTATCTTGCGTAAGGTCAGTATTGAGCATGATTTTTGCGATTTTTTGTTGGACTTTTACACCCACCAACGTTAAATCATGCCATGGTTATGAACAAACTTGATAAAAACATAAAGTTAGACAAAGTTGCCATGAGCGCCATGACTTGACATATTTTATGCTGTGATAAAGCTATTATCAGCTTTGCTAAATGTTTATGTCGGTAGTAACAGCTAAAATATTTTATGACTATATTCTAGGTAGCCTTCTTATCACACTTAGGGGTAAATATAAATATTGTGCAACGTCACAAAAATCATAAGTGAAAATTAAAAAATCTTCTCGATAAGAATTAGTGGGGTATATGGCAATGATTCACGACCTATAATCACTATCTAAAACGGTTAGTATGTCATTCTATTAAGACTTTTTTTATATTAAAACTAGTTTCATGGCAATCAAACTAATATGAGATTATAGAAATATTGAGTCCACTCTTTTACTTTTTTTAAATCATCTAAAAGGTTCGATAGAGTTCAAAAGAAACATGTTTAAACTGATAAAGCGGTGTTGCTGATAAAATGAATTCATTTAATATATCTACTGTCAATATCAGCAAAGCGTGGGACAATTTTAACGATACACGTCACTAAATTCCTACCTCAGTTAGTCATCGTTTGGACATGGTTAAGTCCTTTAATTTATTGATCTTGTGCTTTTGAAAAGCCAAACAAATGGTGACTTATTTTGTGAAATTGGAGCAATGGTTTGGGGTCACAAGTTCATAGCACTTTTTATCAATTGAAATATGGGTCTATTGTTGGGTCAGTTAATGCTGTGATTTTATGCTAAATACGCGGGTACAACTCAAAAGCCAGTCAAAGCAATGTCAATCAGTAACTATGTAGGAAAATGGAGCTACAAAAAATTAACATCAGTCGTGTGTATGTATGTGTGTGCCTGTGGGTCCTTTTCTTTTGGAGCTCCGAAAATGTACCCAGGACACGCAAACAGAACGCCCAACACGGCGCCATTGCGGGCAGACATTGGTGGAGTAGGACTGCGAATGGTGGAGCTACCGACAAGGAACAGAAACATCGTGGCGCCGAGCTGTTCAGGATTATTTTTTGTAGAGGCACACAAAAAGTGATTTAGCATAAAGTTCGGTTATGACAGACTACAACTTGTATAGGGGAATGGTTTGCTTGGGCTTTAAAAAATGGACTTCAGTGTTAACTAGCTATTTTACTATTGGCTACATAAATATACCTTATCTCTAGAAGGTATTTGTTGAAAAATTTTAAAAAGGAAGTACTATTCCGTATTCTTTTAATTACTAATTAATTACCAACAGAATGTTACCTTTCCCTGAGAACCTAACACTCTCAGCCCACTCTCCTCTTAGGATAATCCATGGCGTGTAAGTGTCCTTCGAGCCTCTACCGCTGTCGTTTTTAATGTCATTTAGTTGGCAACGGAGACCACAAAAGAATTCAATTTATGAGCCGGGCCTACCTTCTCGTGTGTGTATTGGCCAGGACCTGACGCTATATTTGGCACGCACGAGAGATATACAAAGAGGTAGAGGCAGAAGGGCTCGATGTCATTCCTGTTGGGGTATTATTAGGCCCAGTTATTGATTTCGCATTATTGTGCCTTGATTAATTATGTATAGAGTGTCCCTGCCCCAGCATCTGTCTGAGTTAATAATACGTCTAAGTGGTTGTGTTTTTTAATTGGCTAAAAAATGCTGTTTGAGTATACTCTAATTAGAATAATTACTGTTTTATAGGGATTTTGTTCAAATAGCAAGTAATACCTATACTCAGAAGTTAATGTACCTCTGGCTGACTTAATTAAACTAGTTTAACTTTTACCTCATAACTCATAAGATGAATCAGAGAACCTAAACTTAGTTACAGTTAAGAGATGTAGAGTTCATGATAGGGAACTTTTAATTCTGCATGTTTATACGTATCCCACCTGCACACAAGCGGCACCATGGGCAGCGTTTGCTTCAAGGAGGCCCTGACGTTCTGTATCCTCCGCTCGGGCCATACATGATCGAACTTTAGCTTCAGGCCGTAGCGCGGCACCGCCGTCACCTCGTTGACGTCCTCCAGCTGGAGCTTCATCTTCTCCTCGAAAACCGCACTGGCGGACTCGGCGATTCCCACCGCGCCACCCGCACTTCCGTTGGCAAAAGTCTTCGGTTCAGCTGCTGCTGGCTCTGCCATCTCGATTGTTTGGTTTTACTGTTCGCGTGCTTTGTTGTAGAATGTTTCTAACTGCTACTAGACAATGGTTTCGTGACGGTTTAATTCATAATCAGATTTATTTAGAGAGCACCAACGACGCGCGTCCGACCCGATGAAAACAAAAAACAGTGCTGCCAACTCTTTTGGTTGCAAGAAAGCTTTTCATCGCGTTGCTATCGATAGTATCGATTGTATACACTTGGCGTTTTCACTTGGATTGCATTTTAAAATTCTGCATTTTCGGGAAAATATTGCCTATGACAAGGGATAACAAGTCAAAAAATCTTTAGATATATTAATTACATATTTTTGAAAGAGATATAAATCGTCCAAATACACTAAAAATAGGATGGCGCTAAGCCACTATATCACATATCATTTATATCATTTCAAATGATCGTTAGAGAGTAAAACTGTAAATATAATATAACATAGGTTATTAAAATGAAAGCAAGAATCACTTTATTGTTTTTTAACTTAAATATATATAATTCATATTGTATTGATTCCTAGTCATCGAATTTTGATAATAGTTTGATAATTTTAATAATTAAGCAATGCAAATGCCTCGCGATTTCATGGACAAAACCCTGTCTCTGTGTGCTTCTGCGGTTTTGTTTAGGCAACTTTAAACATTTGCATTTGTTTTCTGAACGTTTTGTTTTCCCGGCCACAAAATTTCTTAATGTCAACAGACTTAACTTTATTTTCATATTTTCCTTAAACTTTAATTTAACTTTTGAAAAAACAAGTAAAGACTAGGGATTGAAAGTTGACATCTGGTGACTTATTTCAGTTTCCACCTTTTCTATCCAAGTTAAAAACCATTTTGAATTGGAGAAAATAAGGTTGCTGCAAAAACCTGCTTGCAATACGCATGTAAAATTTAAAATGTTAAATAACAGCGTCGGCATTCAGAGTGACCAAAAATCAAATATCATCTAATACAACAAAAAATATATTAATATGATGGAATTTTGATATTTTTTCGACAACACAAAAGCGAGCGACACCCGAGAGCACCCGAAAAGGATTCTGTTAATTAATATCCACCCGACAGCACCCGAGACAGACGAGAACGGCTATGTTATGAATTTTACATTTTACATGAATTCGACCCCATGTCTCTTTAAACGTGTAAAATGTGTTAACAGACGTGTACAATTAATTAACAGCGCCGGAATTCAGAGTGACCAAAACTAAAAGCGTGACAACGGCAACGTCCTAAATAAAACCAATCGAAAAACACAGCAACATCCCGAAAAAAAACCATTTGAAAAAAAAACAACAACGCGACTGGTCCTAAAGAAACGCTGTGAAAATTCGGCAACAATTTTCTTCGCAGCCACCGCAAAACCCACTCAGAAGCAGCGTTCTAGAGGGAAAATCACGGGAACAGCGGCGCAAGTGCAGTTTTATCGCCATTGAATCGGGCCAAACGCGTGCATATATACGGGTTCCGTTGGTTCCGTTCCGTTTCGTTTTTTTCTTGCACACACAATTTACCACTCTACCTTTACGTCTCGTTTCGTGGTGCGTGCGTGTGTGAGTGTGTGCGTGAGTGCGTTCGAGTGTTGTTTTTGTGTCCGTCCAAACTAAACACAGGTAGAAAATCATGGGCGAAATATGAATATGGAATTAAATAAATATAAAACAAGAGCAGCAGCAGTAATAACTGAAACAAGCAGCAGCACATTCGTATTCCGTTCGTGTTAATAACTTTGTGCGTCTTTGCTTTGTGGTCGCATTCATTTCATATAGTATTATTTTTCTCTTGGATTTTTCAACAACCGCAACACCAGCAACAACAACAAGGTGAAGAAGAAGCAGTGGCACAGCAGACATGGATGTGCGAGCGAGAGCACAGAACGTCTTCATATACTCACCGTGATCACCGTGAATGAATATTTGTCATAGTGTGCGAGGCGTGCTCTACTCACACACACACTCGTACGTAAACAACACACACTTGTCGATGTCGGTGTCTGTGACTGTGACTGTGTGCGGCATTTAATAAATAATTGTGTGCAAAATAAATGTTCGAAAAAAAGTAAAATACACAAAATAAACGTTAACGCGAAAAGTGCGAAAATTCATCCTCGACTTGCATCAATCAGCCCGTGAAACAAGAAAATAAAGTGCGTGCTTGTGTACAATTTATTCATCCGGAGATTTGAAGCTGCGAATTTTGCCAACATCAACATTCTTCATCATTTTCCATTGGATACGGAGCCGACGTTTGTGATTTCTTCGATTGCCGCAAAAGGTGAGTTCAGACTGCAAAGTAAAATGTGCAGCTTTTCCCATTGGCCAAGGCCGTTCCGGGAAATCTGGGAAGTCGGCGAGGGGTCCCTGTCATGCCCACGACGTTTCCTTTCCTCTTCCGCACATTTTCACACGTCCTGCAATTGCGATCCTCTCGTTTTGCCTCCTCTTTATTCGGCAATTCACACGCCTCAGGTATTCGCAGGTAGCTGGAAAACCCCTGAGGGAAACCCATGAAAATGGAAAACTACAGAATGCCGCTGTTGGTGGGCCGAGAAAACCCGAAAAAAATAAGAATTGAAATGTTTTCCCGGCCGGAGAAAAGAAAATTGGGCGAACACACACACACTCAGACATCCGTTGAGAATAGCAGCGAAAATTGAGCAAAATTAGCCTCCCGCTGATTCCAGTTTCCAAGTCGTTGGAAAAACATCTGAAAAATTTGCTCTAAATGGGAGAAAATAAATCATTATCTCATTATCGTTCTGCAGTTGCAATTTGGCACAATTTTGGATTGGAAATTGTGTGCTGCTCCCATTTGTCCAAGCCATTATGTAATTTTCGCCCAATGCGCTTGTGAGTCAGGTTGATTTTCCAAATAGAAAGGGATTTGGGGTATTGGAGAGCTACATATATGCATGTGTATGTAAAGCCGACGTTATGGCGACCGCCGACAGTTGCCAGCAATTTCCGGCACTTTTTGGCAAATACCAAATCGAGCACAAAAGTTCATCCTGGAGTTTTTCTTTTTTATTGGGGCGGGGCCTGGAGAAAAATGGGAAAAATATTTCCTTAGTCCTCAGTGAGGACTCTACCCCGTTTCCCAAAAGTAGTTTATAGCTTCCCTACAGATGTTGGAATGCGATTTCAAGATTTTTAATGCATTTCAGAGCAGAAAAGAAGCGAAATTATAAGTCGACAAGTTGATACCACTCTTAGAACTATCTAACAAGTTGTAATTCATTTCTGTTTAAAATAAAAACTTCGTTCGTATTAATAAACTGTTGAAAATTCCTATAAAATCGCTAACTACCATCGCCAGATGCATAATTCCTACCCTCCATATTTCCATTTCCTTTCCAATGACACTTTTATGGCACCCCAACTACCCTCTAATCACTGGGTACCATAAAAAGAGTTTGAATTTCAAATAAAATCCGCTCTTTCACACACACACTCGCACACACAAGACACCAGACCATCAATGGGGAGCAGCTGCTGTTGTGCGCCGCTCTGTGTGTGTCTGTCTCAAATGACACTTGCCAACGTTGTTTTTCTTGCTGCTGCACATAATTCTGAAGAATTTCCTAGTAGGAAGTGCAGTGCAGCAGCAACAACAATAACAACAACAACAACAACGATGACAACTTCAACCAGAGTCGCACTTGGCGATTGTATTTGTCCCGCTCTCTCACCTGCCTCTAGGGATAGAAATGTAAATAGAGAGCCATGCCAGATAATGAATGGAGGATTTGAAATTTTCTAGATGAATCCGATCTCAACAGTTTAAAAATTGATATCTAATAAATTAAATTTTAGTAAAATATATAGAGGAAAGAAACCACAAAAATGACTCATTACACAAAAAATCCATATAGTGTGTAGGTCGTTAAGGAGGCTGTCTCTTCCCTTGCTATATATTTATTTTTGCACTTGTCCCGTTCTCATTTCCTTGTCCGTACTCCACTTAGTTGCTGCAATTTAGCAATTAAACAATTGCCTTTGATTAAATGTGCAAATTTGTCTAATGTTCTTCAACCGCCCGCTTCGTCCCGCTTTCGTAGTATCTGCAAAACGGATGTGACCGCTTAAAGCTGTGCTCAAATGGCCCCGTAATTTGTCACTGATCTCACTTTCTCAATTGGCTATATTTCTGATTTCTGTCTGTGGGGCAATTATGCGTCATTATGTGCCGCTATGTTTGGGTATATCCAACGCCTGGCTGCCATAATAATAAAAAAAACCATTGCAACAGTGGCCAGAATAATATCAACATCTGCGGGGATACGGCTAGTTCTTACCTTTGCCCATCCAAGAAACACTTCTTCTTGACCTACAAGCAGCGGCGGAGGCGGCGGCCTCTCGCATTTCCTGCCCATTTTCATTTACTGTTAATTATTGTTTATATGGTGGCGAAGAAGAAGAAGAACGATAGGCATATAAGCAGCAGCATTAGCTAATAAAAGCTTGCAAACAATTTAACATTTCAAAATTGTTTGAAATGCAGCCCAGCTGGCAACAGAGAGACAGAGAGAGAAAAAAAAGAGGCAAAAAATCAACCAAAGACAACAATCTGGCTCACACATTTATAATAAGTAAACAAATGTGGCTATAAAATAATATATTTTATATAATATCTCCCGAACAATACTACATTTTAAGGAGTTCAAAACAGGCTTCATATACTTTTTAAGTTTTCACTTCATATTTAGGTAATTTCTAGTAAATCTTATATTTAAATATTTCTTCATTAACTTCAAGCAAGTACATATATTATTATTTTGAACCCGTCTGTACGCAATACACACAAAAACAACAAATAAAGTAATTATTTCCTTTCACATGGCGAGCTCCAAAATCGGAAAGACATAAAGAAAAAAAGGCAATATAAAAACCGACGAAGAAGAGGCACCAAGACCCCAAAAATAAAATCCATTCCAACAACAACACCATCCACCGTCGGCGTCTACTTTTGTGGTGTTGTTGTTGTTGCTATTGTTACTGCAGCAGGCCCCAACACGTGCAATTGGAGCCGAATGAGCGTGAGGGAGACAGGGCTAGATCGACGTAGAAGAGACTATTAATAAAGTAACGGATAAATAGAGTGCTGAGAGGAGAGCAGAGCAGAGCATTTTTGCATTGATCTCTCTCACACACTGTGCAAAAACGGAACTCGAAGTGATTGACAAGTTTAAGTTAACATGTGTGTGTGTGTGTGCCTAAGCTCATTGTGAATGAAACACATTTGTTGGTGGGCATATTGTGATTGATTCATGCAGAAAGAGATGACTAAATTTGCCTTGGCCAATTCCCCATATCCGTTATGTGTGCTTTATATGTTTGTGTTGCCACTCCTTTAAGCCAAATTTGGTCAACAGATTTGGCCGTTCTTTTGCTTCTTAATTGATTGATATTCACGCATACTTAGAATATACGTTAAAGGGTAATATTGCCTGCAAATCTCTTATAAATTAATCATAATTTCATTTGCTTGCGATTTGTGAATGAAACTCTTTACGTTGCACGTTACGTTACGTTGTTTCTTTTCTTACGGTTCTTTGTGTGGGTGCGACTACGCCATGGACTCAAGTTGTAACTTCGCATCTGTCCGTCCCTGTCTGTTGCTAATAAATCATGCGCAGCCTGTTAATTTTGCAGTCGACTGTGTAGCCTTTGATACCCTTTAATAGGGAGTGCCTCGACATTGTTAGACTTTGAATTGAGCTTGTTAAAAGCTAAAAGCTAAATATCATCTTTAAAATTTGAAAATTATAATAATATGAATTTTCAAATTTTAAAGATGATATTTAGCTTTTAGCTCGTAAACACAAATGCAACTCTAAGTTTATATATAATAATATAAATATTACCCCAGTTAATATTTTGTTATAATTAAATAACTAATACCGAACCGAAAGTTACTTGCATAATTTAAACCCTTGCTTGGTATTATAATTTTAGCCAGAAGCTTGAAACGCAGCGAAGGAATCATTTCTAAACCCATAAATTGTATATATTCTTTATCAGAAGTCAACAGCAGTCAACTGAATTTTTCAATTTGTATCAATAATTTAATAAACCCTTATTGATGCATTGCTATATGGCAATAAAAGACCCTCAGCCCAGGGTAATAGCGATTCAGCTTCTTCGCTTCTTGTTGGATTGTTTTTGCCTATTTATGCATTGGCTTTTGCTACCGTGAGGGGCTTACGTCATGTGCCGGCTTGGTACATATTTGGCCATGTTTTACTGTTGTCAATTGGCTGCTATTTGTGGGCTACATTTCTCGCTGGCGTCAACACAAAATATTGAAAGTAGGTAATGTAGCGCAGCAGCTCGGATTGAATTGAGTTGCGTTGAGTCACCGTCGTAGTCGTCTCTCCGTTGGATTTTCTTTTTCTCGAGTTGTGAAATGCCTCGTATCCATCAGATGCGCAAGTACATATGTATGTATTTACACACAGGCGGCTGCTCTACACATTTTCTCAATTAATAATTTTGAATAAACAGATGGAGGGAGAGATGCTGCATACATATAGCCCATATATCATTGCCAAGATCGTCTATTTGGGTTCTCTCTATCTCTCTCTCTGTCTGTCTGTCTGTCTAGCGCTCTCTGAATAGCGACACATTATTTGTGAGCAAAATCCGTTTGGCATTTATTCACTTGTCTTGGCCGATTTCAATGGAAATTCACTTTTCTGTAAACAATTTTCATAATGCAATAAATTTATACTAATTGCCTTGCTAATTGACGATTAAAACACCTCGAGCATTCATCTACTTTATCCATCGGACATTTGTTTTGATTTGCTTACGTTAATGCAGCATTCGGAATCGGATAAATCGAACTACTTTCATGAATGGTTTAATGAATGGGAAATGGAATTTAACGCATAGGTTCCTCTGCGGTCTGCGGTTGGTTTTGCGGTCTGTGACGTCAAGTGCTCAAAGTCTATATCCGAATAGGTACCCTTTGAAGAAAGAGTTGTACAATAACTCAATATTATAGCAAGTGGATGGAAAATAATTCGATGACTAAACTAGAAATTTATTATCTTTTGTAAAATGAATTTTCCATTGGAACTGAATATTTACCAAAGCTAATGAATAACAGATTATTTGAAACCATAAACTTTTCAAGTGAAATTTTCCCCCATTTGTTTATGGATGATTCAATTATGAGTTAAGAATTTGAAATACCTTATAGTCATCCCCAGCCAGATGACTCAATTCCAGAACCCTTTGCATTTCAACATTTTCTGCAGAATATTTTCGAAA